GTAATTATCTCTTGTCTTTTTGGAAACTAAAACCAAGCTGCACTGAGAAAAGTGTTGGCATTATCTTCTACAGTAGAGCAGCACAGTTACAAGATAACAGAGTAGCTTCCAGTGTGAATGCCCAACATCTGTAGCTACACATACTGCTAATGAAAGACCGATGCTCTGAAAACCTTTCAGCTGGCAGCCCTCACTGTGATAATGTGGATGATTGTTTGAATGCTTACACTGACCTTCTCATGTTTGATGAGCAACCTCTTAAAATTAAGAAAATAATGACAGGCCTGCCTATTAACAGAGAAGCATCGTAACCATGGTAGCTTGGATAATCTAATTTGGGGTGTGAATGTGATTAAAATGTCTTTTTAGTGTAAATGCTCATGACACTGGTAAACGGAGAAGTTAAGTACAGTATACTGATGTGAGGCCAGCTGGTCTGACATGGTGGAATGCTCATACAACGCAGGAGAGAGGTGCTACAGCTTGAGCTGTAGTACGGTTCAACAAGAAAGCAAGTCAAAGTGCATCACAACTTACACTTATTGATTTCTTATACCTACATTGTCTATGAACTGTCAGATCCTGTTACAGTATATTGTGATGTTTTAGTGCATGTACTAAACTACAAGAGATGAAATTTTGACTCACTTATGACAATGAAACAATTAAGGCCCCCTTTTTAATGTAATGACCATGTAACAGCTCGCAATGGTCATGCTCCACTCTATTAACCTGTGTATTAACCAGTTACTCTAAAGGTTGATGGATGAGGCTGTGATAACATGCTAATTTGGTTTTGTTATTGCAAAAACCTCAGGTTATTATTAAAATAGCTTCTTTCATTGCTTTCATATTTTATTGTAATTGCACCAATTTTCTAAAGAGGAAATAAAATGGATCAACATTATAGCTAATAATAATCCTATGCTTTCTTTCTAAACCTCTCCTTTTACAGATAAGACCAATTTTGGTTTAATTTAGAACAATCTTATACCACAATGTATCAGATAATTATCCTGTATCATTTACCACTTTATTTACTTCACTGCAACTGTAAGATACTAACTGTAAATATTTAGCTTTTTATAAAAATGCTTCAGCCAAACATGCGTAAAAACAGACCCTAAAAAGAAAAAGCTCTTTCAGTCTAACGAACACTTGACTGCACAACATGGAAGAAATGATGTGAGATGGTAAAGATGGACCACTGGTGGAGCTGGAAGAGTTTAAAGGTCAATGCACTGCAGTAAAGACACTCCAAAGAATGGTCTTATAATTACATCATAAAAACCTGGCTGCAGGAATATGAAAATTAATTGTTAATAAAACTGCACAATTGTGCAGCTCCCAATTATGGCACAGAGGAAGGTAATTTCTTCCACAAATTAGAGAAAGAATCTGTACTTAATACAATGAGAACAAAATAACATTTTGAACACTGAAACCCAAAATTAGACTACATGTTTTGTTTTGAAAGTAGTGCTGAACTTTTTTAATTAACCAAATGAGAACTGCCAACCCTCCTGTCATCCTTTAACCAGCACAAAGCTGCAGAACTAACCAAATGAACTTGTGTTCATCCCACTGCTGAGATTAGTTAGGTTTTAATGTTCTCACATCCTTATATTTATTACCCTCAGAGCTCAGCAGAACACAGTTCATTACATCTCCTGTGTTTGAGTCTCTGCATATGTGTGTGCATGCTCACAGGAGAGAGATGGGGGTAATAGCCCTTGCTAATACATTACTTGTTTGTAGCAGTGTGTGTTATTCACCGCCCATGCTTGACTGTCCTGCCTGACCAGCAGCACACTGCACACATACAGTACAGACACACACACCAGTCAGAAAAATTTTGGCATGGCTCCAAACCTGTTCTCATTCGCAGGCTGTCAAACACTAATGGTTTGTCAGACCCACTGGCCTCTCACAGACACCCGCATGGTCCCCTTTAGCATCTATATACTGACTTACAGGGTTTTCAATAGACTCCAATGTTAAACCACTTGCAACAATAATAAACACCCAGAGCATCTGTTCCCGTTATCTATTGACTCCAGTGTATACCCACAGCGACACTTTGATGTTTTGAGCTTTGCTATTTTGTTGTACAGTGTTGAGAAGCTGCTTTGAAAGTAGCTTTGCAAGCTACCACGTACAGCTGAACTACAGCAAAGCTACTCTAAGAAGAAATCAGGTTTGTTTAACTAAAGCTACTTAGAAAAAGTAGTTCGACCTGCTTTATAACAAAACAGTGGAATTGACAGTGTGCAAGTGATACAGAATATAATACCAAAAAGCCATATGTCACCTTTTCAGACAGTATGAAGAGCTTGAACATTGTTCAAACTAATGTCATAAACAAACAAGGCAGAGCTGCTTAACCACTCTGAAGTCAAAGAAACTGAAAAAAGTGATATTGGCAGGTCGGTACTTATAAAAAACGAGGGCCTTACAGGTCGTTTCTGCTGCGGACTTTTGCTTCTGCTATCCAACCTATTACCGATACCTGTACCTCTGTATTAGCCTGGTCATGTGTCTGCATTTACGTACCCCTCCTTGTTGCCAAGTTTGAAGATTTAAAAATGTCTAATGTGTCAAACTGAAGGCATTGTGTGCCTCTGCACACATGAGCTATCAGGTTATGTTGTCATTCATGTATTTAAGATATTAAGGGCTCAACAAAGAAGATAGTGCTGCCACGCTGAGCTGAAAGTGACAAGAAATGATTTTAATGTAAACGTGGAGCTGTGGCCTGAATGGTGATTTATAGAGCTTGACTGTCAGCTGACAATTCCTCTCATATTACTCCAGGTAATATGTGACCTTCTAGCCCTGACAGCATTTGTTACGCTACCCAGACCCAGACCCCCAGTCTCTGGGGATGCTGGAGTAATATTTCAACCTTCTGGCTTTCTGTCTCTCTCAGTGAGGCTTTTAATGGGAAAGGTATAATGAAAACACATAACCTGTACACAGCCAAGGACAGATTTCATTTAAAATGCAGGTTCTTTTTCATCATTATTTAATATAATTTCTTTTGATATGAGCAGGTCAAGAAGTCTTGATGGCAATTTGAAAAGAAGGACCTTTCCATTCATGTTTGGAGTTTACCGATTTGATGCCCTCGGCTCAAAGACGTGAATGCCAGACCAATCCTCCTGTGGTGTTTTGTCAGTAACTTCTTAAATCAATTTTGAATTATGTTTCACAACTTCTAAGTGTACAGATGTCTACTGGGGTGAGATTTAGCTTTTTCTGCCATCTTATGCACAATAAATAACCTCCATTATTAAATATTCGGTTCCATTTTATCAAGTTTCTTTGGTATGTTTATACAGTATTAAAAAGGTACAACTAATATTTTTAATGAGCAAATAACTTCACTTCTGGTCTTAAATAAGATGCAAATTTTAACATAATTTATATTCTTCCAAAAGAATCTTTGACACTTTAAAATACAGTAGCTATATGTTACCTATAGGTATAGAAAACTACACCACTGTCTTGTGTTATTGAAGACAAAAATTGTCTGGTTATTAAAAAAAAAAATGCCCAGTGTTGTTTTGGCTGGGATAAAGAAGATCCTGTCATTGTTGTCAAATGTTAATCCTTGAGTTCAGTCAGGGCCTGAAAAGGGTTACCATGGAGACAGTAGAGAGAGGTGGGGTGGGGGGGGATGGTCCCCTGACACCGAACTTGGTTACTGGCAGATTATCAGAAGACAGAGGTTACTATAGCCCTACAGAAGGTTTACAGCTCTACCATCACAAACAGCACACACACAAATAATTATCCACTACACAGTACCTCTCTCTGGTGGGGAAACAACAAAGAGAGCAACATATACAATAAATAGCAATAAATACTGTAAGGAGATACTAGCTGCCTCTGCTCCCTTTCTCCCATAGAAGCTTAACTAGAAGGAGGTTGCAGGTTGCTTGGGGGACAGATCCTGAGAGCCAGCAGGGACAATGACACTATGAGGAAGAGAGAGCCCTCAGAAAGCTGTGCTCTGACAGACTGAGAAGGCAGGATTGCTTTCCAAAGGCACTGTACAGGACAAGGATAAGCATCACTGTAGCCCAGAGATTAAAAATGTGCATTGACACAAACGTTTGGACTGGGCACAAACCCTTGTGGACCAGCGAAGATGATGGAAATTATGTCACTTGACCATAGTGAACATGCAGATGTGCAAAGCATGAATAGCTTCAAAGTTTGTGACTGCATTGATGATGTGCACAGCAAAAGTCATGACTGCACATATTCCACAGCGCTAGGAAAATACTGGCGTATGTAGACAGAAAGCAAACCTGCAATTTGAGGAGATCAGCTACCATCAGAAAGGGTGGCTGAAGCTTTTTATCTGAGGAACCAACTTCCATGTTAATAACATGTTGTTTCTGTCTGGTGCTTTCTTAAAAGCTCTGCACAAGATGCTGCCAACACTGTGGGTCTGAGCCACAGCTACAGAAAGTCAGTTTTTGTCAGTTTACAAAACAAAGGTATAGTATAGTAATCATGCCATAACCTTAAAACTGTGTATACTATATGAGAAACATTAAAAAACAGCTCAGTGTCATTTGGCATATGTTGATAAAAGCTTATCCTCATTGAGCTCCGAAGCAGTGCAGCTACATTTGCTAACAACTTAACAACAAGTACAATGTGTATAATGGCCGGTCGCTCCACCCAGTGATTTTGTTAAATGGGCCATTTGTCATCGATGCATTTCTCCAAATGTGGTCTCTATCCTCTGCCAGACAAGCTGGTAGTTTTATCTGTGTGCACTTATTGCCATTCCTCTGCAAGCTAGAGCAAGTAGACATAGACACAGGTGCACATACACATACAGTTTAACTTCATAATCACAAGTGTAGACAATCAACATAACAGGGAGATTATGCTCAGTGCTGAGAGTGGGTGGGTGTCGCACTCTCATGCAGATGGCATCATTTTCTGTCCACTGCAGCAGTTGCTTTGAAATGGCTGACAGAGGGGGGTAAGGTTGATACACACGGTGTTCAAAGGGACTCGTCATCAGCTGTGTGCCTCTAGGCCAAACATCAGGTCTCCTGACAAGATAATGAGGGTACAACATCAAGACATGTATTAATTTACTATAAACATCAAAAGTATGTTGATGTTACTGTCTCATGGATCAAGAGGAGGTACCTGTAGGTCTGTGAAGAGTGATGATGGTCTGTTTGGATTTCAAGGTCTTAAAAGGCATTAGAAAATGCTCAGTTCATTCAAGGTCACAAATGCATGTTTGTACATACTGTAAATTCATATAAGTGTGTGCACTAGATAAAAACATAGACACACAAATCTGAAAATCTTCAACGTACGGAGCACAGTTGGACTTCAATTTGGTCTCGTTCCCTCTCCAGTGGTTCAGACAGCACAGCAGAGAGCAGGGGTCAGCTTTTATGGATCTCAGATAATTGAAAACGATAAATATAGCCTTTCAAAGCAAAGAAAATAAACTCAGCCCTTCACTAGATTTAATGTTCAGCCAAGCAGCCACTTTGGCACAGAATCAATGGAAGGGATTGCCAGAAACACACCTGTGTGCTGGTCTGTGTGTGCATGCTCTTACACACACACACACACACCAATGCACGTGGGTACACAAGCACACAGAATGGATAGCAGCCCCTCCAAGGTTAATGTCTGTTTTTAGGGGGACACTCACCACATCCTTGTTAAACAAGACAATTCTGAAGATCACACAAGACTCAACACCCTGCAGAGGAGCAAATATAAGAAGCCTATATAAATATGTATTCTTAAATCCAAGCCTCTATTGAGGCTGCCAGGGATGAGTGACTGAGTAGGCTGAGACAATCAGGAGCCACCCAGCTGCTAAACAAGATGCCGAAGGGCTGAAACATGGAGAATCTACATACCATTATGAAGACTGGTGGTCATAGCCCCGAACAGGATCATTGATTCCAGCTTTAGTGGTGGTGGTGGTGGACATTCATTCATTCATTTTCTACCGTTTAGTCCCTGAACTGGTCACGAGGGATGGGGGGAGCCAATCCCGGCCGGCAATTGGGCAAAGGCGGGGTACACCCTGGACAGGTCGCCAATCCATCACAGGGCTAACACATAGACAAACAACCACACACACGCACTCCTATGGGCAATTTAGAGACACCAATCAACCTAAGCTGCATGTCTTTGGACTGTGGGAGGAAGCGGGAGAATCTACATACCATTATGAAGACTGGTGGTCATAGCCCCAAACAGGATCATTGATTCCAGCTTTAGTGGTGGTGGTGGTGGACATTAACATTTAAAAATATAATTGTGATGCTGTAAAACGTTTTGTTAACACACCGTTGTAAATAATATTGGTTCAAGTACTTGCTGCCAAATTTGTGAGCAAATTGGATTTGCTGCAGTTTTGGCAGGTTCCACATTGACAAAAGAGAGAGACCCACTGAGAGAGGGGTAAACCCACAGGTTCTGTCCAGACTAAAGCTCAAACAAAGCTGACAGTCACTGTGAAGACGCAAACATGGTTTTAGGCAAAATGCAATTAAACTGGACAATGTCAGCAAGCAATCAATCTCAATTACTTTGGAAATTAACAAATGGAAACACAGTGGGGACGAAAGCATTTTAACCACTCATAGCTTGACATAATGAATTAAAATGCCCATAAAAAGTGACATTTTCCACATTAAGTCTATGTAGAATGTGCACTGTGTGTCAATTTAGTTTTCATGTGCACATGCAGAATAAAACATTGCACAAAAAATGCAACGGAAATGCAGATAGCATCTGGGTGTAAAAAAGAACTGCATTAAAAGTTTAGAATACACACAATTTTAGGAGAATAATTATTATTCCATCACTATTCATATAAAGCAGCATCTGTTTCTGTGTGTTAGTGACTCAGGCAGCCACTAAGGATGCCACCAGGGAACTTCCCTTAGGACACCAGGCATAAACTAATGGGAGAAAACCTCAGGCAAGCCCTGAGGTCTATTTAAGCTAAAGGGACTACATCCCCCAGGTGTCCTGGGAACACCTTCCTCGGTCCTGCCTCTGGAGGAAGCAGCAGGAGAAATAGGCATCTGGAATAGTCCACTGTCCCAGCTGTCACTGCACCTAAATCTACAAACAAGAAGACAGATGTGGATGGTAAATAAAGTAACAGATGTTTTCATGGTTTCAGAAAAAAAATCCTTAAAAAAATAGCTTAAAAATATTTTGTCTGCTAAAGGCGTGTTGTTTCCTGAAGGATTTCTTTTAGGTTTTGAGACAAAGCTGGGTAACAAGGATACATCAGGGTTTTCAGTCATTAACCATGTCATTAACTAAGGTTGAGCAAAACTTCCATGCATTACATTTTTGCAACTTTTCAGACAATACAGTCATGACATTCCATGTGACTTTAAGTAGGTTGATAAACTATCTGGCAGGTGGATGCTAATTGAGAAGGATTTGTAACAAATTCTAAGAAGTTCCTTCAAGGTGTTCCTTGATGTTGTATTCACATACAGTAAATTGGACGGACAGACAACCCGTAAATGTAACTCCTCTGGCCACGGCTGTTGCCAGCGTGCAGACATTAGTAACATAAGCAATCCATCATCCCTAACCATTGAACGGTGACATGTCCCTTTACTCCTCAGCCAAAAGGTTAGAAGACTAGAAATGTGGGCTTTCAATCCTTGTCAAACCTGACAGTCAACACTGGTCACCATCCCAGTGTTGAAGACACCTTGCGTACTCTGTGTGTGTGTGTGTGGTATGTAAGCTTTAAAACCGAATGTGTGAATGTGTCATCTGCACACACACACACACATTTCTCTCTTTTCACCTCTTCTTCTTTCTCTGTCTCACCTGTCACTTCTCTTATAGCTGGTGTCAGAATAAAGGTCAACACTCTAATTCAGCACTTTGACGAGTCATGGAAAGGTATAGGTGATGACACCAGTGCTTATTTAGATACAGTGGGTACGGAAAGTATTCAGACCCCCTTAAATTTTCCACTCTTTGTTATATTGCAGCCATATGCTAAAATCATTTCAGTTCATTTTTTTCCTCATTAATGTACACACAGCACCCCATATTGACAGAAAAACACAGAATTTTTGACATTTTTGCAGATTTATTAAAAAAGAAACACTGACATATCACATGGTCATAAGTATTCAGACCCTTTGCTCAGTATTTAGTAGAAGCACCCTTTTGAGCTAATACAGCCATGAGTCTTTTTGGGAATGATGCAACAAGTTTTTCACACCTGCATTTGGGGATCCTCTGCCATTCCTCCTTGCAGATCCTCTCCAGTTCTGTCAGGTTGGATGGTAAACGTTGGTGGACAGCCATTTTCAGGTCTCTCCAGAGATGCTCAATTGGGTTTAAGTCAGGGCTCTGGCTGGGCCATTCAAGAACAGTCACGGAGTTGTTGTGAAGCCACTCCTTCGTTATTTTAGCTGTGTGCTTAGGGTCATTGTCTTGTTGGAAGGTGAACCTTTGGCCCAGTCTGAGGTCCTGAGCACTCTGGAGAAGGTTTTCGTCCAGGATATCCCTGTACTTGGCCGCATTCATCCTTCCCTCGATTGCAACCAGTCGTCCTGTCCCTGCAGCTGAAAAACACCCCCATAGCATGATGCTGCCACCACCATGCTTCACTGTTGGGACTGTATTGGACAGGTGATGAGCAGTGCCTGGTTTTCTCCACACATACCGCTTAGAATTAAGGCCAAAAAGTTCTATCTTGGTCTCATCAGACCAGAGAATCTTATTTCTCACCATCTTGGAGTCCTTCAGGTGTTTTTAGCAAACTCCATGCAGGCTTTCATGTGTCTTGCACTGAGGAGAGGCTTCCATCGGGCCACTCTGCCATAAAGCCCTGACTGGTGGAGGGCTGCAGTGATGGTTGACTTTCTTTGACTTTCTACAACTTTCTCCCATCTCCCGACTGCATCTCTGGAGCTCAGCCACAGTCATCTTTGGGTTCTTCTGTACTTCTCTCACCAAGGCTCTTCTCCCCCGATAGCTCAGTTTGGCTGGACGGCCAGCTCTAGGAAAGGGTCTGGTCGTCTTAAACGTCTTCCATTTAAGGATTATGGAGGCCACTGTGCTCTTAGGAACCTTAAGTGCAGCAGACATTTTTTTTGTAACCTTGGCCAGATCTGTGCCTTGCCACAATTCTGTCTGTGAGCTCTTCAGGCAGTTCCTTTGACTTCATGATTCTCATTTGCTCTGACATGCAGTGTGAGCTGTAGGGTCTTATATAGACAGGTGTGTGGCTTTTCCTAATCACGTCCAATCAGTATAATCAAACACAGCTGGACTCAAATGAAGGTGTAGAACCATCTCTGGGATGATCAGAAGAAATGGACAGCACCTAAGTTAAATATATGAGTGTCACAGCAAAGGGTCTGAATACTTATGACCATGTGATATTTCAGTTTTTCTTTTTTAATAAATCTGCAAAAATGTCAAAAATTCTGTGTTTTTCTGTCAATATGGGGTGCTGTGTGTACATTAATGAGGAAAAAAATGAACTTAAATGATTTTAGCATATGGCTGCAATATAACAAAGAGTGGAAAATTTAAGGGGGTCTGAATACTTTCCGTACCCACTGTATATCTGAGTTTGATTTTCCTACAGTGAAGAACACTATTGGTTTCCATTTATTTCTATATAGTATGAAAACAATACATCTTTCTCATTAGTGAATGCATTAGATTAATCAGTGGACCTCCTTAGTACAAGTGTCATAATAAATCGGGACATGGATCATTGTGTTGAAATAATGAGTGTCATCCAGCTTGAAATTGAATGGAAGCCAGTGGCACTACAGTTCTCTTCCTTTTGAGCTATATTCATGATTTGTTTTATATGGGCAAAAATATGAAAAAAGTAGTTGTAGTAGCTGGTTAAATTTTTACAAACACAGGATGGCTGACAAAATGGTTTAAATATTTAGAATATGTTGATGGTAACTGGTTCAGTTTGTAATGAACGCTTGCCTTTTTGCCTCTGAGAAAGTTAGCTGCCGCCAACAAATTAAATAATTCTAATGGCACCACAGTACAGAGTTCAGCGCACCTCCTCTCCATTTCTTTTCCTCTGCTCGTTTGTTTGTGTACCATTCAACATCCCTCCACTCACCTGTCAAAGTAATTCCTCCCAGGAGCATGGGAAAGTCATCTGCCCCAGGCCCACAGGCACAGTCGGCTTGGCTACCTCATAAATTTACAGTGCCACACACATTGTCGTTGTTATGCATTGCTGTACCCAAGGGATGAGAGCAGTGTATGGTGTATGGTGAGGTGAGCCTGACATCTTCTTACATATGAAGAAATACAGCTCTACTAAAAAAAAAAGCTTCTAACTGAGCAGGTTCAAATCTAGAGTCATGCGTAGCAGAGCTTCATGTGTGAGTTGCAGTGCAGCAATGCCTCTCTAGAGGTTATCTGTCCAGC